CTTACATTTTCAAGTGAAAGACAGATATTAAAGATTTTTAAAATACCAAACAAACTAATGTGCAAGAAAATCAGGTAACATAAAGAAATCAATGCAGTAAAGTAGGTTAGATTATAGGGTATGATGTGAGGTTATTTGAAATAGTAGCTAAGTGAAGACAGGGAGCAGAACCAGCACACAAATGTCTGGGGCAAAGGATTCTAAGTAGACTGAACAGCCCGTGCAAGGTTCACAGGTGGAATATAGTTTGGCATTTTCCAGAAGGGGCGGTGTATTTTGGTAGAGTGCATAAAGTGAAATATGCTAAGAGATCAGGATGGAGGACTAGTCAAAGGCCAAATCATGTGAGGTGTTACAGATTCTGAATATCTGAAGATAATCTCTGTTTCTGAACTCTTTATTAGAATGCTTTGATGACATTTCATATTTTAATATTCGTCTTTTTTTTTGAGACAATCTGTTGCGCAGGTAAAGTGCAGTGACACAATCATAGCTCACTGCAGCCTTGACCTCTGAGGCTCAAGTGATCCTCCCATCTCAGCCTCCCAAGTAGCTGGTACTACAGGCATATGCCACCACATCTGGCGAATTTTATTTTTTTGTAGATACAGGATCTTATGTTGCCAGGGCTGGTTTCAAACTCCTAGGCTCAAGAAATCCTCCCACCTTAGCTTGCCAAGGTGCTGGGATTACAGGTGTAAGCCATTGCACCCTGGCCTAATGTTGAACTTTTATAAAGATGTACTTAATGAAGTTATCTTAGAGTTTAGGGCATGAAGAAATATGTCTTCAAAAGGACTGCTACATTTTCTTGTATCTGATGAGAGCTTTGAAACACAACACAGTTCCTTTGTGGTCCTGGCTGCCAGGATACACCAAGCTTGAGCTCCCGTGAACTAACAGTCTTTAGCTGAGGTACTGGGGAAAATTCATCTCCCCTCCTTCATGACTATTTTCTTTGTTATTTTTTTATGTCACCATAGATTTTACGTTGTTCACTGCTATTTCAAATGCCTTTGGAAATAAGTATAATTTTTAAAAAATCAATAAAATCACCACATTTGCCAATCTGGAATATTTCTTTCTAAAACTATGATTCATATGAAATCCATTTATTAAATAATTGTTTCATCTCTGGGAACTACCTGTTAAATTAAATGAATAAGCTCTCAATTACGCCAATGAGGTTAAATATGTTGCTAAGTATGATAAAATAAGGCTTAAATGGACAGGTAAAATAAAGACTGATGTATAATATTATGGGAGGTCAATGGAGGAGGGTATTTGCTGGCTAAGGGGAAACGAAGGAGACAGCACAGAGATAAAGTACCTCCACTGAATCTTAAAGTAAGACCACTGTGTGCTACTAAATATGGTAATGCTTGCTGTACACTGCACAATACTAAAGGGTGTCATCCATATTACATATTATCAAATGGTATCCAATTTGATACAATATATTATCAAATATGCAATATTGTACAGCAAGCATACTTATATATCACATTTGATGTATCATATATATGCAGTAATTTTTAAACGTGGAAATACACATTAATTTAGATTTGATTTGGCCAGGTTGGATATCGGACAAGTTATTATTTTTTCAATGCTTCAAGTATACACACCTTGTTAAGCATCACTGAATCTAAAGAGTAACATTTAGTAGAGAATGGAAAATTCTAGATATAAGAACTATTTGAAGCAGTGAGAGACGAAAAGTGAGAATTCAGGGACAATTTCATTGAAGAACAGATGATTCAAAACAGAAACAATAGGTGAGAGCCTTAAATACTCATCTGAGGAGTTTGAAGCCCATCATCTGGGCAATGAGGGTTATTAATGTTTTATCTTAAATAAATCAAAGAATCTAATTTGTGCCTTAGCAAGATTAATCTGATAAATGAGAAGGGAGCAGATCTTCATGCAGGAAGATCAAGTAGGTCGTGAAGGCAATGGTCAACGTGGTGGTGATTGAAACCTGACTTAAGTAGAGGAAGTGAAAAATAAAACCCAGAGACAAATAGAAAAAAAATATGATGAAGTTAAAACTGTCAGAAATTGGAAGATGATTGGGTGTACAGGTGACAGTTTCAAGCTGAGTGACAGTAAATATGGTGATGAAATGTATGGAGACTGAGAACTCGGATTTAGAGATAGGGAGGGGAGATGTGTGTTTAAGGCACCTCAGTGGAGACAGCCACAGAAGTTTGACATGCAGTTACACACAGAGAGTCAATCACGCTAGAATGTCCAAGAGTTCAAGGCCCAGATCCATGGAGATCTGGGTCCAAGTCTGGCCATGTGAGGCACCATGACAGTGAAGTAAATTACTTAACTTTTCTAAGCCTCTATTTAAATTGTAAAACAGTAAATATTAGTATCCACCCTAAGAGTTAGAATAAATTGGGATAATATACCCTGGACTAGTATGTAGAAAAGCCTTAACAATGCTAACTAATTTTACAATTAGGATAAAATTTAGGGGTCAAAAAATAAAATTTGGAATTAATTGTGCAGAGGAGCTAAACTAGGCCCACAGGGAAAAATGCATTGTCAAGGAAGAGAAGATGTAGGAAGAAAAGAAAAAATATAGCCTAGACCTTGATAGATACCTATAACTTAGAATGCAGGTAGAGCAATGGGAACCCAGAGACAGACAAGGAAACAACAGCCAAGAAGGTACCTTTCTAATCTTTACATTAATAAACAGCCAAAAGCGAAGGAGTGATATATGAAGTGTGTTATAGGGTCTGGAGGTCTCAATTGCAGAGCTTTGCTAGCACTTTTCAGTCAACTTAGGACCATCATACTTAATCCTTCCATGTTTTTCTCTAAGAAAGAGGACGGAGCTACAATTCACTAGATACAGCTTTGTACAATGGCTGTCAAAAAATTACATTAATCATTGTTTGACTCTTGCTGACTGCTATATAACATCAAAACAAAGTTTCATAAACATAAAGTGCTACAGCATGGAAGTAATAATGATAACAAACCAAGGCTCTGTGTCTGATTTAAAAAACAGTGGGACATATGCTTGGCTGCTACCATAATTGGCTATGAGCCTGTTGTTTTCTTGCGCTGGAAGAGGGACTTTATGTCCTGTGGATATTATTTGTTCTTGGTCTATGGGGACCCAAGTTTCCACTAGATTACAAGCTCTGTGCACATAGCCAGATGTGTGCAAGACTCTTTCTTAAATTAGGCTATTTCTGTAAATTATGCTTAACTTTTTTTCTTTTAGTATTGGGTTTCTTTTAATTTCCTTTGGTTCTTTCTCCATGAGAATTAACTAGTATCTCCCTGGACTCACGGTGCCTATGGTGTCACTTGGTATGTTGTAACACTCCCTGCCATAGCTTGTGAAAACCTCCTATGATAATCAAACTAAACAAATATATTGATGTTTCAATATCACTGTTCACTTGTGTTCACATTGGATTCCGTTTTATTCACTCATTCATTTATTCATTCATTCAGGAAATATCTTTTCAGCACTGCTGTATGCCAGTCATTTAGCTAGATGTGTTCTCATGTGTTATCCAAAGAATGAGTGTTCTGGTAGGGTTTAGAATGATTTCTAGAATAGTTCCCATTTAAAGACTTCCTCAATTCATCTCATTCTCGTTTCTCATGCGCTACTACCACCACTAAACCTGTTGATATTACTTTCTTTTTTTTCATTGTTTAGAAATTATTTTTTTAAATATATATTTTATTGCATTTTACGTTTTGGGGTACATGTGAAGAGCATGCAAGATTGTTGCATAGGTACATACATGGCAATGTGGTTTGCTGCCTTCCTCCCCATCACCTATATCTGGCATTTCTCCCCATGTTAAATATGTCTTAAATACATCCTTTATTCTCCACTTTTTCTGCATCCTTTTTAGACCATATTACCATTACAGCCAATCATAATTACCTGACTGATTTCTCCACATGAATTCTTATCTCTCTTCAATCCACTGTTGGAGACTTTTTCTTTTCAATATAATTCAGATTCATTCGTGAATCTTTCCAGATTAAAATACTTCAAAGGCTTCTTATTGTTCCTAGGGTAAATCCTTACAAATTCCTGTGCTCTCTAGCCCATCTCTAAACCTCCCGCATCATCTCTTGTTTTCCCTGTTCTCTGTTATCCAGGGGCATTGGCCTTCTGCTTTCTCCTTTTAGTTATCTAAACCTGCTATGCTCCTAGCTATCCCTGGCAGGCTTATTGCAGTTGCTGCTCCCTTACCTTTCAATGCTTTCCTTAATTCTTTGCCAGTTAAAACTTACTCATTTTTAGATATTAGTTTATTTAGCACGATGTATATTGAGCTTGAATCTTGTATGTATATGGGAATGCATGTATACATGTGTATATATATATTTGTGTGTATATATGTACATATGTTTGTATATACACATATATGTACATATGTATATACATACATATGCACGTACAGATATATACATACATTCCCATATACGTATACATATAATATGCATGCAAATCAATATAATCTAAAAAAACTAAAAATCTTGTATGTATATTGGAATATATGTATACATATTTTTGTGTGTATACATGTATATATGTGTGTATATATATTTGTGCGTATGTACATGTATATACATATATACATATATGTGTGTATACCTATATGTACATATGTACACACATACATATGCACACACAAATATATATGTACATTTCTATACACATATACACATAATGTCCATACATAGGCATATATTTACATATAAACATTATCCATATGCACACATATATGTACAACATACATGCGTGTGTATGTGTATGTATATATGTATGCATCTATTAGAGAAGCCTCTCTGATCTCTCAGCCTAGCTTATCACATTGCAGCTTCGTTTTCCTTCACTAAACAATAGCATACTTGAGAGCACAAATTTTGGCTCTTTACCATTTTTTCCCCGAAGGAGAAGCAAAATACGTAATATAAACAGAATCTCAATATATCTTGCTTTTGAATGAAAAATGAGTAACTGATAATGCAACCATCTTAAAAGGGAAGAATGCTGCTTTGGGGAAGTACTGTCTCCTGTAAATTCTTGACAAGGCTTTTGTAATTCATGAAGATGACATTAGAATGAAGAAAATAAATAAGGATATTAATTTAGCAATAATGTTTGGCTTCAAAGATTTGAAACATTACTCCATTAAATTATTTTAATAGCATATATTTCTATTGATCTTCATTATTTTTGAAGACCAAACACAGAGTAAACACTCTTCATAAAGTCAGCTTTTTCAAACATATATAATGTTATAGTATTTTTTAATTGGCAGATAAAATTGTGTGTATTTATTGTGTAAAAGATGATGTGTTTTGAAGTATACATAGATTGTAGAAGGACTAAATCTAGCCAATTAGCAATATAAATTACCTCACATAGTTGTCATGTATGTGGTACAGACACTTAAAATTCACTCTCTTAGCATTTTTGAAGAAAACAATATATATATATTGAAGTCAGTTATGAGCAACGATGGCGATGAAAACTTTACCTTAATCTGATGCTTAGAATAAGGATATTTCACATATGCTGTATTAGAGAAAAGCAAGTTAAGCTGAGAAGATTAATATTAAACCTTTGACAAAGCTCTCCTGTAGAAAAATGCTCCTAATGAAGATGTGTTTGGGTGAAATTGTTTATTCCATGCTAACAAACAAACAAGCAAACAAAAATCTCTAGAAGGTACACAAATTAGCCTTTAAATATCTTTCAGAGTGAATTTATACATTAGGCAAGCTGATAATTATACAAGGGCATTTTTTCAAATACGTTTTTCATAAACTCAAGTTAGCAAGGTTAATATGTAAGTATCTTGTTGAATAATACTCATTGTTTTCAAGTGGGCAGAGGGGTTTATGCCAACATTTCTCTAGAAGGCCACAAACTGTTCCTTCCCGGTTGTGTTACAAAGCGGGTCAAGAACAGTTCACTGTTAACTCTTACGCAATGGATAGAAATATACAAATGAGGGGCAAATCTTTGATTTAAAATTTTGATTTTTAAGCATCATATTATTAATTTTAAAAGTCCTAAACACATTTAGCATTACATATGCAAGGATGAATTAAATATCATTAATAATACTTGAAGCACACTGGATGATGGCGATAGAATAGAGAAGAAAATTATCTGAAAGCGGACTAGCACTTGGAAGACATCAGAGAAATGGTGTGGGAAGTGCTGGGTAGGAGTGAAAACATGATTCTACTACTGCCTCTATATTGATGACGCTTTGCATATGTACAGATAAATTTGACTACTTGTTTTGAGAAAAAGATGTTCACACAGAAATGGGAAATTCCATGATATTATCTTGTGAAGGACTTTCTGTCAACAGCTGGAAACAGCTGCTATTAGCAGCAGGATTGTAGGTGCAATTTTAATGGCTTAAAGTTAGGCCAGACAACAACCTGGGAAAAAAAAAGTCCTAAGTTTCAATTGACAGTCTGTGATGAAATGTTCAGGTTTGAAGATGGTATAGAAAACTTCTGGGGATTCCCTAGATGGAGGGAGTCAGTGGTCTTGTCTCAGTGATTTACCACAGAGCCATCATCCTTTTTAACACAATCCACCACTACTGTTCCCTCTCCTTCACCACCTATTCCTATCAGCTCACGCCCAGCAGGGAGTAAACAATTTAGTGATAGTGCATATATAATTTGTGGAAAGGAAATACAGGATTTCCTATTCTTATGTGTGGGACATTATCCATATTTGAAGATAATAGTGCTTACAATGTCAGAGGCAGTCTGTGATATTTACTGTGTTCATAGGAAATATGCATAGCTGTGTTCACTGAATTTTTAACATGGCTTCTTGCTTCTTTGATAAAATAATTTGTTTAAAAGTTTCTAGTTCAAATAATAGAAAAACCCTTTACACACAGGGAACAACATTTTTTTTTCCTTAATGATAAAGATCACATTCTGTAATATTTGGAGATATGTGATCCTACTTTTCATGCAAAGACCATCTGACCTAAAGGACCAACTCCTTGCCACCTGGTTTTCCCTCTCTATGTCACATATCAGACCTCTGACTGGCTGAGAAGTGGCCATCAGGGCTGGCCCTCCAGGATCTGGAAGATCAAAGTCGGCTCATACACACTGGCTAGGAGAACATGAAACACATTCATGCAAGAAATGAGAAACCTGCCTGGCTGTAGTGGTGGCTTACAGATCTTATCTCTTTTTCCTGTGTTAGGGACAGAATGCTTCTGGGAATGTGTTGGTGTCATAGCAATACTCTTTAGGGACCATTTCTGTGCTTTCTCTAACTTTGTTTAAGCAACAAAAAAGTAAAAGAAGTTTTGGAATTGCTTACAGGGTGGCTAATCTGATACAGATAAAGGGTGGATGAAACTCATTTTTAGCCTGTAACTCTATTGTACGATAGAAAAGAATACTTGCTTTTGAGTCAAAATCGGGTGGGTTAGACTCTCAAATGAATCCGTTATTTACCATGTGTCCATTGTCAAAACTAATCCTTTTAGCTACAGTTTCTTCTCTGGAAAGTGAGCCTAAAATATTAATTTGAAATGTTTTTGGGATTAGAGAAGGAGAATAAATTTGATGATATCTATCTCACAAAGTGGCAGGCACATGAACAGTGCTCAATACATAGGACCTATTATTAAAATATGATGAAAATACTGGTTATGGTAATTTGGCAAAATAACCTTTCTTTGTGGATAGTGGTTACTACTCAATACAGAACAGATTTATTTAAAGAGTGGGAGCTCTAGTCTATCATTTTCCTTTAATGTCATTCTGCAAAAGAAATTTTAATTGAAAATATTTAAATATAAGGAGAGCAATATGACTCTTCTCTAGTTTCTCTGTTCACTTTGCTTTAATATAGAATTAGAGATTCTTAGTATATAAATCCTAGAAAGTAATTTAGAAATTTTGTCATTATATCTTCAGAGTAATAACTTTCATCACAGGGGCTGTTTGGGCTGAGTAGAGCTTTATTCATGTTTACCGGAAGTCCTAAGCATAATTTATTCCAAACCAAATATATTCTACAACTATTCAAAAGATTCATAAAACAATAATTTAAACCAAAGAACTCTGGCAGTGCATGGCACTTTCTGCCTCATTATTTGAGGCAAACAAAAAAAGTGACCAAACGACTACTGAAAACACAGAGGAGAAAAAATACTAAGAAAGTTTACAAGGACTCACCTGCAAAAGTTACTGAAACAAAAATCTGTTGACTAAATAGTAATGAATATTCATTTTTATGTTGTTGTATACTTAAGAAAGGAAAACCTGAGCCTTTCTCTCTACTGTCAGAGCAAATGGCAATCATGAAGTGAAGCACATTGACTATTAATGATTGATCACTTGAATTTCTATATTTTATAAGTACAGCAACCATCTGTTAAGGGGAATAACAGGTTCTAGCAAGGAATGGATTAAGGGCTTTATTTTCCTCAACTGAAGCTCAAAATGAGTGAGCTTTTTCAAGTTAACTTTGATTTCATTTGGCTCAGGTGTCAGGGATCTATATTTATCTGGTGTTAGGCGTGTGTCTGAAGGGCTGGAAGTCTCAGAATGCCAATGGCTTTCAGATGTCAAGATAACCTTAAGGATAGGTGAAGGGTTGAGAGGCTGTGCCTCATTTCTGAGTCCTCAGCTGCTATGCCGTGGAAATCCTGTTTACTTTCTGCATCTCCTGCAAGAGTCTCTCTGGAGCCAGTCTTGAGGTCCTACAACTGCGGAAGCAAGCTCTTCTAGAAGTTGGTGAGCAGAATGCTTTTTGTTTAGGACGTGACTATAAATGTCTTTGTAGTTGATGCACTATCACCTAGTAAGTAACTATTTTGAGCTCTCTAAAAAATAGTTTAGTCTGTGGTGCTTATTTTAGCATATTTGCAAGTTTTTACCAAATGGTTAAAGAAATTTGCTTTTTAACCCTTAAACCTTGCATTTCCACAAGTCTCTAAATTCCATAGGATGCTATGGATTTCCAGTTGCCTATTTCATGTCTTTTACTTAGAAAGCATCAGAAAACCTAAACTCGTGATTTCAACAAGTGTAATTTTACTTGAAACATTTTTCTTTAGATTTCTTATTTTATTTCTGTATTCTGATAGGTTGTGAAGAAGATTAATTTTTTCAAAAGGATACTGTAAAAATCTGACCAATTTGATTATCCTTTTCCAACTTAGAAAAATATTTATTTAAAATGAGACTAGAATTTGAATCACCTTCTTTAATGGGGCTCTGAAAATGTTTTTTGGTCTGCTGTCACAACTGACAAATATGTTGAAGAAATAATCTAACAGACCAATCTTAACAATTTGACTTCTAGACAGAAGAAAACAAAAGCCTTTTATACATAAAACTTACTAATCATTAGTGAATATAGAAGATTTCTTGAGTGTGGGCGTCACATATCTTGTTTGTGGGATGGGGGGAGATTTTGTGACATAGCAGAAATTTTGTTATATGGTGTGTTTCATAATATGGCTACATAAGACCAGGCAACACTGCCAAGAATGACAGAGTCATTACTTATACAGAAAGTCAAGTTATGCATATTTTGAGACAAAATTAAAGGCTGATAGGAAAAAAAAAGCAATTCCTTCTGTTTCTCCATGTTTATTTTACAAACCTTGGAAATGAATTAGATAGGCTTCTTTGCCGTTACAAAGAGGTCACCTTTTATTATTTGAGGAATGGTTGCTTGGTGCTAGACTGAATTCTGGGGAACCACTTAGGGCTAATACTTACAAAGGGGTAAACTTCTTATTAACTTTCCTTGAGAGAACTCACAACTCAGATGGGCTCTGTATCTCAGATAAAGAGAAACAGGCAAGCTGTCTTGCTTTAGACACACCTGACTAAATAATAAAAGTGGATTTGTGGAGGAATATATGAGACTCGCCTAATCCTGACAAGAGGAAAGAAAAAATATTTTCAAATGATGTTCTACACAAATAGTAATTATTTGGAATCTGATCCTTTTGTAAAGGCTAATGACAACTTGGTAATTAACTGTTCTAAGAGTTCAAGAAAGCAAACACCTGAGGATAATAAAACAATTTTCACCTGGGAAAAAGATAAGCTCTGGAACTCAAGAATTATGTTCAGGCAAAAACAAAATAAAACAAAGCTTTTAAAAGCTGACAAATCATTGGAAATCACTGCTTAAGGCTGTAGAGTGTGATGATTAAATGAAAAGAAATGTTTCTCTCAGAGCAAAGAAATATATAATAAGCTATTGGTGTGACTGTGGCTCATTTTGCTTTTAGCACAAATTACTAATTAAGATGACTAAGGAATTTAATCTGATATTCTTAGTGTTTATAAACTAATAAAGCTTCAGGTTAAAATGAATGAAAACAAAAAATGTATTGGTCTGATGTTTATGGTTTTCCAAAGATTGCATTTTAGATTAAAATTGTGAACTGCATCATCACTTTATTGCAATCTATGAGGAACAAGAGGTCCTGGAGGAGGGGGAATGAGGCTGTGTTTCCATATCACGTGACTAGAATCCTCAGTCATGTCTAATCCACAGCTATTCAATCACAAGCAATAAATACTCATCAGGAAAAGGAAATGAACTAAAGCAAATATAAGTGTGTAAGAAATACAATCGAGTAAATAGTTTTAGTGTTTTGTTGTATGTAGAAGTACAGTAATTGGCTAAACCACTGGAAAGCTTGTTTGTTTGGTTTTTGTTTGTTTGTTTGTTTTTACAAAGTATATCGTTGGTTCCACTACAAACTTTCAAGTCATTTCTTTATGGAAAAGTGTAAAGTGAATTCTGATTTGTGTCTTCTAACAAATTAAACCATGAGGAAACGAAGTACCACTTTTAGATACATGCTGTTGGTACCCTGCTAAATAGCTGAAGATGTTTTGAAATATACCCAGAGACCTTTGTCACACAGACACTATTGTACAAAGAAGGAAATGACAGAAAATTGGCAAGTATTAGAGGGGACATAGGAGACAGCTTGGCTCATTCACCAAGGACTCTGGGCTGTGCTCAAATGGAAAAGAATTGTTTGCCCTTCTGTACTTGTGATGTTTAAAGGTGAAATGAGGATAGTTTTTAAAAATAAATTATTATTAGTTTCATCTCTTAATGGTATTCCTTCTCATTAAGTCTTCTAAATATAAATATTACTTTTCTCATTTGAATTTTTGGAAAATCATAAAAAAATTAGTAGTCATGTTTTACAACCACGACTTAGTAAGAAAACCTCGGTCTATTTCCGCATTCAGTATGATACTAGCTGTAAATACGTCCTATGCGGCTTTTATTATGAAATTCATTTGGAGGTTCCTTTGGTCTCATGTTGGGACTTCATTTTAACTTTATTTAAAATGTACCAAATGCCATTACTAGATCTGCTTCTTGTATCTCATTCCGGTAAGTTTTAGAAATGAATTAGTTAACATTACTGTGTTCAGTACAGTGGTGTCATAAAGTAGAACCCAAAGCATACTATCTTTTTAGAGCAGATATAAAATTTTAAGTAAACTAGATACTTAAGACTGAACCCTAAAACATGAAATACCTATTTTAGTTAAATACATGACGGAGTTGCTATCTTTCAAATTCCTTTATTCATTGACATACTCTTTCAGAAATATTTAATGAACACCTACACTGCTTTAGGAAATGCTATGAGAAACAATATTGTGCTGAACATTTATAAGAATCTAGGATTATTTTACAGGTGGTTTTTTGAACATTGTTCATATAGAATGAAACTTTTGATGAAGGTTAAAAAACAAAAACTGTTTACTTAGTAAATGGTGAAAGCATATTCATCATTTTATGGATACTATTCTCAGGACCCCACAACAGCTCCATTAAAGTGTTATCAGTCTCTGGGGGAAAAAATGAATCAAATGAGTGACAGTTACATTTCCAGAAGGACTAGAAGGAAGATACTGGCAGAGTTGTTCCTATTGCTTGCTCTGAGCTTCTGGTTGTTGTATCATTTACTCTTAAAATGCTAAGTAATTTCACACAACATTGGAAGCCTCTCCGGAATAAAATAACTGTAGTATGGACTCTAAGCTTTAGGATTGATAACTTCCTAAAATTATTCTTGAACTATTTCATCTGAAATGGAGAATAATTTTATCTCCATCTAGTATTAATTTTATCTTGGTCTCTTGGGGAGACCTCTAATTTCTATTAGCCCCATCCTTTTCAGAGCTGGTTGGGCAATAGGTATATCTAAGCAGATGCATAGACAAGGAGTTACAGTGCAGTAATGTATAAGCATAATATACAGGAATAAGAGCATTGCTTACAGACCTTTGCTATTGCCTCGAGTTGGAACATGTTGCCTGCATACAGACTCCATAAAGGTAATGGAGCTATTCCATTTGTAGCATCTTGGGTTAGTATCAGCAATGTCCCAGTGCCTGAGTCACACATAATAAGCTCATAATTTCTCAATAGAGAGATTGTATTCATTTATTGAAAATATTGTCTAAATATTCCCTAAATCAAAATATTTACCTTTTACTAAGGACTATGCCTAAAATTTTTTAAAAACTTGCATCATGTAAATAGCTTAGATACATTTCTTTTTTATGTTTAGCATTTTTCCAAAAAATATCCAAATTGACATAGATCTCTACTATAACATAATACATAGATCTGTGCAAATATTTTGTATTAAATCCTCAGGTAGGTAGTTTTATGGAACATTACTACCACTGTTCTTGCCAGCAAGTCTGGCTGGGTTTGTTTACTTTTGTAATATAAGGCAGATCCTCTACTGGTAAAATGAATTATGAAATTTAATATAGAAATATTCCATAATTTACAAGACACTAAATATATAAACTCACAGATGCTGAGAATGTCTCAGTGAACCAGTTCATGAAGCTCACTCATTTCACCTAATGCCTCTCACTGATGTCCTAGTCCTTTTCCCCAGTCTGCATGCAAAACTTAGATGAGTTTGCTACTGTGTTCTGACTCTTGGATGTCTTTGTCTCATGTACTGAGTTTTGGATGAAGCCAGAGAGAAATATTTAGCTTAGTCAGTTTCACTCTGGGTCCAGTGGTCTTGGAGATTTGCTAATCTTTCCTCCAAAAAAGGATTGTGATTTCTCCACTTTTCTCTTCATGAACAACCACAGCATGCACAGTACAGTTTTTTGCTAGCCTAGTCACGTACCCTCTCAATACCCTCTCTGAAGTTGGGGGATGGTGGCCAGCTGGTGGTAAAGGTACAGGCATCACCCATTTTATTTCTCCATCCCTTAGTTCCTTTCTGACCTAGATGGCTGCTTGAAAGTTCCTTCTCCTTCAGTTTTCCAATCTTTGTGTATTGCATCCTTGTACTGCAGTCCTGTTATAATAGTTCAACAAAATTCCATATGGTTTACCAGCTGAAGTCAGGAAATACAGGATTAAGCAAAGGGAAAAATAAAGCCTAGTATTTAGAGGCAAACAGAAAGGAAACTTACTATAGTTCCTCCCATTATCTTCTCTACCCCATTAATATTCCTCTTGAGTATTAAAGGTAGCATTTTGTTCTCTCAAATCTCCCATGCGAAACTTCTGTACATAGTAACAGCAAGAGAGTTTCTGAAGCTGAAATCCTGTAGAATAAATAAAAGCAACTGAAACAATCTGAATGGTCTTTTGAAAAAAAGGAAAAAGAAAAGCACTTAATTATTTACCATGGCAAAGCAATAGCTATGAAGCTTGCTTTTTTTTTTTTTTTCTGAGGCTTAGGGCTAGACGTCTACTTTAAGCTGCTCTCCTAATGTTTAAATTTTTTTCATAGCAAAAGCTATGAACATGAGAAGTGGGGATGCTTCTTAGCACACTCTTAAACTAAGATTACTGACTTTTACAAATAAGGATGTGGAGCCTTGCAGAAGTTAAGTGACCTTTTATACCCTTTTCTAGCCATATTGCTTTCCTCCGTTTCCATTTCTGCAGATTTTCTAGGTTCCCATTCCCCATCCCCCCTTTTTTTCTTTTTCTTTTTCTTTTTTTTTCTTTTTTTTTTGAGATGGAGTCTTGCACTGTTGCCTGGGCTGGAGTGCAATGGTGTGTTCTTGGCTCACTGCAACCTCCACCTCCCAGGTTCAAGGGATTCTCCTGCCTCAGCCTCCTGAGTAACTGGGATTACAGGTGCCTGCCACCACACTCACCTAATTTTTTGTGTTTTTAGTAGAGACGGGGTTTCACTATGTTGGCCAGGCTGGTCTCAAACTCCTGACCTTGTGATCTGCCCCATCCCCAACTTTGTAAGTGATTTTATCAATTTTCATGACTTCACCTGTAATCTGTACGTTGAGGAGACCCAAATCTACATCTTATGACTCCGATTACTCTTCTCAACTTCAGATCCATATATCTCCATGCCAGTAGGTCAAGTTCTTGAGTTGAAAGTATCTAAACTCTTTTTTTTTTTTCTGAGATGGATTCTCACTCTGTCACCCAGGCTTGAGTGCGGTGGCACAGTCTCAGCTCACTGCAACATCCGCCTCCCAGGTACAAGTGCTCCTCCTACCTCAGTCTTTCAAGTACCTGGGAGTACAAGTACCTGGGTGTGCCACCACACCCAGCCAATTTTTGGTATTTTTAGTAGAGACGGGGATTCACTGTGTTAGCCAGGGTGATCTCCATCTCCTGACCACTTGATCCACCTGCCTCGGCCTCCCAAAGTGCTGGGATTACAGGCGTGAGCCATATAACATTGCTACTGTGTTCTGATTCAAAATGTATATATTTATGTTCCAAATTAAATCATCCTCAAATGAATGTCTTCTACTATGCTTGAATTTATCCCAGCATTCAATAATATATATGCATATAACATATCCTCTGCAAATTATTTGTAAATAAATGTGTTAAGATTTAATAGATATTTATTACCTATGTGGCACCTGCAAAGCACTCTAATGATAATTATGCAAAGTGCCTAGTATTTAATGAGCAGTAAATTATTGGTTGAGGCATACTCTCTAGTGTTAGATTGTATGTGTTTGAAACTTAGATCTCCACCTTCCCAGCTCTGTGACTCCGGCAAGTTAGTAGACTTCTTTTTACTTCTGCTTCCCTATCTGTAACACAGGGATAATAAACATACCGACTTCATAGGGTAATTATTCAAGATAAGCAAGTTAATACATATAAATTACTCATACAACTGTCTTGCAAAATGTGAGTGCTATAGAACGGATAACTATTATTTAAGTTTTAGAATAATGTAAAAGTAGATAGTGTTATCCCCATTTTACAAATGAGTAAACAAACCTGGAGAGATTTAAAAAATTGGCTCAGGATCTTACAGCCTTAGTGTAAATGCCAATATTAAACCCAGATAGGACTAACCCCACCCCACCCTACCCCTAAATCTGATCCTATATTTCCCCCTCAGGTTAATAGAACCTCCTTTTGTCTTGTTACTCAAGCGTAAAACCTGAAACTTACTCATCATTTTTTCATCTCTACCTAGCTCATTGCTCACCAAGCCTTAGCTATTCATGGTACCTTCCAAATATATTCCATGTCCATAAATATTTCTGAAATCCTTCCTACCTTTCCCACTTCCACCCCCATAGTCACTTTTTTTTTTTTTTTTTTTTGAGATGGAGACTTGCTCTAGTGCCCAGGCTGGAGTGCAATGGTGTGATCTTGGCTCACTGCAACCTCTGCCTCCTAGGTTCAAGTGATTCTCCTCCCTGAGCTTCCCAAGTAGCTGGGACTACAGGTGCCTGCTATGATGCCTGGCTAAATTTTGTATTTTTGTAGAGACGGAGTTTCACCATATTGACCAGGCTGCTCTCGAACTTCTGACCTTGTGATCCACGTGCCTTGGCCTCCCAGAGTGCTGGGATTACAGGTGTGAGCCACTGCGCCCAGCCCCTATAGTCCCTTTTTAAGTCCAACCACATAGTTTCCTAACTAGATTATTTTGATAGGCTTCTGCTGGCCTTCCCTCCAATCCATTCTCCACGCTGATGCCAAGGCCATCCCCTGAACCCAAATTTTATCCCCTCCTTCCCCCAAATCCTTGAGTAGTCCTATGTTGCTTTCAAGATAAACCCCCAAGAGAATGAATTCTAGGTAAATCAAGGCACACATGTAACATACAGTTTGGTATATTACATGCTACATTAGGGCTTCATGTTTGTGGTCATTTGTGCCTGCTTTTCTCGTGTCTTGTCTTGTTCTTCCAAAATTCATACACTGTACCGAGCCTTACTGAAATATGTTTTCCCAGTTGTATGTTTATTCTTTTGTATGTTTCTTTATGTATCTCTATTTGGGGAAATGCCTGTGATCCACTATAACCTGTCCCGCTCTTTACCCGGATCTGTATAATGCAGTCCTTGTGTGAGGTACCACTTCCTCCACCACTGTCCTTTAACACCTTCTCTCCCTCACCATTCACTCTTCCCACCTACACTCAGGTAGGTCACAGCCTATTAGAATTGTCTGTCTATGAATGTGCCTTCCTAGACCTGCTGGGAGCTGCTTGAGGGGAGGTGTCAGGTTTTTGTTTTGTTGATTCTCACATTTCATCCCAATTAGAAGTCGAAACAAAGAATACTTTAGGAATGTATTTAAGTTTACTCTTGCAAGGGCTACTGATTGATAAAATATTTGCAACATCATTGGGGGAATAAATCGTATATAAATAAAACAAAGCTGATGATTCAAATTATGATAGTAATTTCACATGTAGTCTGAAGATTTCAACAAGAGACATAATAAAATATTAGAGTTAGAAAAATTAGTCACAAAAAGCCTGGAGTTAGTTGTTTGCCTGTCTTCTGGCTTGTGATCTTTTAGTGAAGGCAGCCAGATCGGAGTTTGGTTCAGGTTACAAGCATGATCACCCAGGAGGTGTTTGCTATGTAGGCAAAGGGTTGAGGGCAAGATAAGATTAGGAAAGGACGTGCACTGTGAGGACTGAGCCAAGCTCTGGGTCTCATCCAGTTCGAAATCTTTCCTTGGAGAACAGGGACTGGCAAGTGAATACTGGAGACTGAAGAGTGAGAAGTATTTTCTAAAAGCACACAGCTCACTTTTAACAGCTAATTAAATGAGACTAGATTTATCACAGTAGTTCTCAAAAATTGGTGCAGGAAAACAATAAAAAATGCTTAACTTGATACCCACGATGTCTTTTTAAAAATTGTTACTGTATTGTCACTGTAATTATCACTACTCTTAATGTTTTCCTGATCTACATTTGTACCCCGTATGTCCCACCTCAGACTACCTAAGATTTTCAGTCCCTTCGGGGAACTTATTTAAATTCAACTACTTTTATTTTGGTAGCCATTTACTGGGAGCATAATTTAGCTTCCTAATATTATGCTACTATTTTTATCTTTTGTAGATACAAGAATCGTATACCTTCAATGTAGTCTTTTGTTTAGTGAAGTTTTAGTGATAAAGACAGAATTTTCCCTCCACTTTTGAATAGATTATTTTATTTTATTTTATTTTTTGAGATGGAGCCTCACTCTGTTGGCAGGCTGCAGTGCAGTGGCGCAGTCTCGGCTCACTGCAACCTCTGCCTCCCGGGTTCAAGCGATGTTCCTGCCTCAGCCTCCGGAATAGCTGAGAATACAGGCATGCGCCACCATGCCTGGCTAAATTTTTGTATTTTTAGTAGAGACGGGGTTTCACCATGTTGGCCTGGATGGTCTCTAACACCTAACCTCGTGATCCACCCTCCTCAGCCTCCCAAAGTGCTGGGATTACAGGCGTGAGTCACTGTGCCTGGCCAGGTTTTTTAATTTTTTTGTAGACAAGTTCTAGCTCTGTCAGTCAGGCTGGAGTACAGTAGTACAAGCATAGCTCACTATAACCTCAAACTCTTGGCTTCAAGTAATCTTCCCACCTCAGTCAGCCTCCCAAGAAGCTGGGACTACAGGCACACACCACCATGCCCAGCTAATTTTTTGGTTGTTTCTTTTTGTAGAGGCAGTGTCGTCTTATGTTGCCCAAGCTGGTCTCAAACTCCTG